GACCACACCAGTAACACGTTTTTTATTCATGTTCAGGGGCATCACCGGCTGATCTCTGCACCGGCAATGCTTGGTATGGATGTGAACGAATCGGAAATGCAAATGAGTACATTAATTCTATCCAATCAGCTCGACTCTGTGTTTAGTATGAATTTGAAATATGGGCGAGTTGAGGTGCGCGCTAAGATGCCCACTGGTGATTGGCTATGGCCAGGTAATGTAATGTGACGTCTTATCATGCCATGTATAATATAATAATAATAATTATTATATGTGGTGATTTGTTTATTTGTGGGTAAATACTCACAGACAGTGTTCATACTAGACTGGCAAAGTCGGGACTTCTTTTTTGTTTTACAAAATGAAAAAATTCTTTCGCAGTCACGCTTGTTTTTGCGATCACGTTAAAAAGGCTAAATTGATTTGTTTTTCTAGAACAAAAAAGAAGTCCCGACTTTACCAGTCTATGTTCATACAAATGTGGTAAATATTGGTAGTTTCAAGAGCGTATTAAAATAAACCCTGTCCATGCATGTATACCAAATACCTCTGTGTAACATACATACCAATTCTTTATAAAGGGCCGAATCTAAAATAAAAACTGGGACAGGCGATCGATTGACGGAATCGGGAGGTAACTGGCAAAACATCACTTTTATTTGTTAAAACATTGTGCATTTTTTGGTTACTATTAAATTTTAAACAGAATGAAATCATCTGAAGCAATATAATTTTTTTCAAAAAGTACAAATCTTTTACCTACATATATTATTTCGACATATTTCATCAAACAACATTTTGATATGTTATGAGATGTCATTACCATGGGAACCAATGGTCAAATCATCAACATTCCTATTTCCGTAGGGTATATATCCCCATTATTATATCTTACGCATTGTTACAGCTGTAAATACATTGTAGTGATAAATACAATTTTCCGTGACACCATTCTGGTAACACTGGCAAGTGTTTTCGAATGTAGACAATATCATGAGTGATTTGAAGTGTTAATATTCCTTGTTTGTTTATTTAACACGAAAATATATACTGTAAAATACTTCATTTTCGCTTGGAATTAATTTTCGCTGAAGGAATGATTCAGTGAAAATAAAATCAATCGAATATTCTTTTTTTCCTATATTTTACATTTAACTCGTCAAAAATCAGTGAAAATAAAATCCATACAAAACACCCAAAAAGTCTATTCAGCAAAAATTTATTCTAGCTAAAATAAAGTATTTCAAAGTATTACTGAAAGTAATAAACCTTGTTTACCTTACTTACAAGAAATGGTTACTTTAAGATAGAGGCTTACACGAGTCTCGGAACTGATCACGAGAACTGCTGTGCAAATATGTAAATAGTATCTGCGTGATTATTGTGTAAGAAAATATACTGAATGGCGTCCAGCTGCTGATGTTTTGTAATTCCCCTATAGTCACATGGGAGCTTGTAATTTCATTTCCCTTTTGACGGTCAATTGAATGAATTTCCAGTACATTTTTCAAGCACGTGATTTAAGATAGTTCTTTCCTAGGTAAACTCATTCACTCATTCTTTTTTATGTCAATATGATCACTTCCGTCATCGAACCTACGACGGGAACTACAAATTTAAGTTGCAAATACTAGGCCCTGATCTCGGAGCAGAACGATCCATCGTTATGTATAGTTGCGGGTTTGGGTTATAGAGAGTTATTGAGTGTCATAGTTGTTACACATAAATCAGAATGATGAAGTCAGTCCGGCTTCTGTATAAATGCTGCAAGTCATGGGACGTTATTTATCGTATTATGAATATTACAAGGGAAACGGGTACTTTATAAATATCCACCGCCAAACCCAATCAGGTGCATAGTATACAGACTCGGGTGGTAGTGGGATGGTAATAATAACTCATTATCTCAATATACAACTCTAAACAGTTCAGCAATACAAGTGACTAAACACCCGGAAACAAATTGCATTGTGTAACGGTTTTTCGGTTGTTCACTAGATTTCCAGAGTTCACAGTGACAAGGAATGTACATATCGTATTACGATAGAATGCTGCACAGAAAAAGATATATTGTCATTTTCATCATTTTTACATACTTTATATTCCATTACACAAAGATGAAAAAAACGGAATAAAAATAAGGGGTCACCTCACTGGGTTCGAAAAAAAAAACGTACAAAAATGTACAAAATAGAGTAAAAATAACATGTTTTGTCTGTTGTCCATTGTTTCTCATGGAACGGATATATCTGAAAATTCTGCTTGGTGACACATAGTGAAAAAAAGATGTTATAATGTTTTACGAGGTACTTTTGATAATACAAAAAGTGTGTTTTTTGTCGAGGAAATGTGTTTTCATTGTGATCTATAGAAACCGCTATGCACAAGTTATTTACCTTTTAAAAAAAAAAACTGATTGACAATGAACCAAAAAAAATCACATATTGTTGACTAATACTAATTTAAAACGAATAATTGTTAGACAGATTTTGATTCAAAATATTGCTGCTGTCATATGCGCTTAAATATGCGCACATGTTAAAAAACTATCATCAAGTTCTACCTTAAATACACAATGGTAATTAGTAATAATAAAATATACATTTTCTCATGATATTCACCGTGACTGTGACAGAATACTACAATTTACGACAAGATATGTTAAGGCAAATAACATTACCGCCGACATAATTAAATGATACAGACAAGTTTATAGTCTTGGCGTAACAAAATGATTCAGTGTCAGTTGAGTAAAACCAGCCAATCAACGAGCACAGTGCGCAATGACGTCATTTGGAAACGTCCCAATGTTATTCAATTACCAATAGAAATGTCTCGTTTCACTTTGAATTGTGAAATTTATAAATATGTTTAAAGATTAAGAGAATGCCTTTGTTGCGCCAGGAGTATATTAAAATAAAACACAAATATTAAAATTGTTTCCCGTTATACTTTTACTGCACTCCAAAACCATAATACAACTTTAATTTTCAGACTTGTTATTTTTAGTGATTCTTTAATTGGTAACCACTGATAAGAATTTATCTTTCTAAAGATGCAGGTACATTAAAAATGCAATACAATTAGATGAGATCAGATCCTGTATAAATGTTGCATAAAACGTTATTTATTTGCGTTGTTATTATAGAAAAAATAATTGTATTTATATAAGCTTATATGACTATTATTTAAAAACTTAAGTTTGCTTTATGCTGGTAATGGGTGATTCTGTTATACACCTCTGCTGTTGTTTTTAGTATTTTCTCTTATTTTCGCTTTCAGACTGTTAATTAATATTAATATTAATTTTCTAACTTATTTATTGTCTGTATTTTTTGCAGAGGAAATCAAATTGAAAACTGCTTTTGGAATTAAACTTGTTATTGGGTAAGATTGCAGTCATTGTCTTGAAGAATTAAGAAGCCTTGTTGGAATTTAGGCTCATGCTCGAAACACTTTCTGCTGTTCTATATCTAGTTGCCAAAACTTTTTTTGAACGTTTTGTGTTCCGTTATATTTTAATTTCTCCATTGTGCTGCAGATAGGTTTATGTGAATAAGCCCTCTACGACAAAACACAAACATTCTATATTTAGGTACAAGCCACGTGACACAATCAACCAATCCTCGTTCAGCAATGGGGGAATTCCCGGAACTGAGGCGTGTTACTTAATTCGTCAACAAGTATCTGGATTTTCCCAGGCTAAATTTAACATTATTTTGGTAGTTTAAACTCTGTTTAACCGGGCCTACTATGACAGAAGGCGGTGGTGAGTAACCCAGATTCCTTCTATGACAACAAACCGGGTCCATTTTGTGTAGCGCGTCCCCTAAGTTTTAAAACCTGAAGGTATATTTCGTTTTTTTGTGCAGCGTTGTAGATGCAATATTTTGGTAAATATGCCACGCCAGGACAGTTCACAGAATTTAAGACACGTCATGTTGATATTTTGTCAAAAAGGCGCGTGTTACATTCTTAAGCTCGGTCGCGTTTTCAGTCATTGTATGCGTGTTTCAAGAAGTCTAAAAGTTCGTATTCTTGGCTCACCGTCCGCGTTTTAAAATTCAACGCATCAGCGTTTCGTCTCGGTGACATAATGTGACATTCCGTAGCTATTACCAGTGGAATATAAGATATTATTATTATGATTGCATGTATTCAGTCTTCCTGTTGTTTATTCGATATACATTGATATTTACGTCTACACACGATTCTGCAGGACTTTCTTGTGTCATTAACTTTGAATTCATTTATTTATTGCTTTATTTGAAGGTGACCCAAGGCTGAACAGTTTAATTTTGGACAGTACATGTATTTTAGGGAACATGGATAATGCTTATCAAAATGATCCACAGTTAGACGACTTACAAGTGCTAGGTAAAATGTGTTTTTTTGGTATTCTGTCACACTCCTTTCTCTGTAATCTTTACTACCAAAATAGGGTATGAAGGTGTGAGATATACAATGAAGATCATATGGAATTGAAGATGTCACGCGAAATGCAATATGATCACCAAATCACAAACTTGCATTTCTAAAAAATCTTAGTGACTCTGTGAAAGAACAGATTCATGTTCAGTGCTTATTCACAAATTGTGTGTGTGTTTATGAATGTGGCCATAGACATGATCAATTGACGAAAAGGAACACTTCCAAACGTGCGCAAGAGTTGACTTCTCATAAGATCTTCATCTCATGTCACCATACATACCGGTAGTTATGTAAGTTGCATACCGTAACTAATCTTATAATTCTTTGGCTGTTTTCAATATGGATTCAATTCAACAACAACAAATTACAGTGCATTGTTTACACACAATTTAGATGTATATTCACAGCTGTAGGGGTCCGTGTACATGTAGAAAACGATGAAAGTAATGAAAAGCAGTATAGCAAGCTCTCGTTTTTCATAAAATCTCAGAATTTTGACTTATGATTGTGTGTTTCAACACTTGTTGCATTGAGGTTAATAACATGACCTACTATAGTTGATTGTCAGAGCATCGATTATAACCGTGGTGAAGATGCAACTATCTAGTCAACGAACAGTCGTCTGTGGGAATAAAACATCAATTTTTTGCTTGCAGTGGGTCTTAAAACTGTCAGTTGTACAATTCCCTTTTACTGTCATGATTGGCCAGCTGATTGTGCACTTGCTATATGTAACGAGTAGAACTAATACACGTGACAATCTAAGATACTAGACGCATATATGAATATATAATGAGCTCATACATCGACTTCTGTTATTGGTGATATGTTGCATAACAATTTATGTGAAGTATGTATTTGTTCACTTTATTTTGTTAGCAGAACAGCTCTTGAATGCCACACAACAACAAGAACAAGAACAACAACAACAGCAACCAATAGTAACTATATCACCGCAGCATTTCAGAACACCAGCACCACCAACTGCACAAACGTTTATGCAGCCACAGAGAGCTCCACAAGTCCAGCGTCCATTTTTAGAGATTGTTGAACAACCTAAACAACGGGGTCAAAGATTTCGGTACTTGTGTGAAGGCAGGTCAGCAGGAAGTTTACCAGGAGAACACTCTACTCATGACCACAAAACATTTCCTTCTGCCAGGGTATGTATTTAATAATTTAATATGCACTAATACATATATAATTATAAACTCAACCAGTAGTTATACTTAATTAGGAGTGAGGTGAGAGTTTCTTTGGACCTTCCTCATCCACAGCTGTAAGCTTCATTATGGGGTTTCCCAAAGGCTCAGTACTTGGTCCTCTATTGTTTTCAATGTACGTCTTACCTTACTTGGTAAAATTATTCGTCATCATCTACTAAATTTTCATGCATATGTTGATGGCAATCCATTATTCACCAGAACAAGCACTTCATCTGCTATATATCCAAAACTGAGGAATGCCTTCAGGATATCAAACATTGGATGACCAACAACATACTACACCTGAATGACAGGAAAACTGTCGTCCTTTTTATTTGTTCTCAATATCATCTGTAATCCACTTAATCATCTCCTAAGTGGACTTGCACTTGTTGAGCCTGTAAAAGCTGTTCACAACATTATGTTTGATGATATCCTTCAGCAAAAAATGATTCATCAATACATGTCAAAGTATTTACATGCACATCCGATGCATTGGACAGCACTTATCCGGCAGTATCTGTCCACTTAAACATGTTTGAAATTGTCTGTCCCAATCTTGTTGCTAAACTATTACTATTACATTGCTCTGCTATATGGATTGCCTGATACACAAATCGATTTACTCAAGTCATCACATAAGAAGTTCAACCATATAGTTACACAATTCAGTTCAAGATCTTTCTACTCGCATACAAGGATTTTCGTGGATTAACACAAACTTACTTACCGATTTGATTCAGCTCCATTATTCTGGTAGAACTCTATGTTTCAAATCAAATTAAAATTTGCACATTTCAGAGAGCATTTCTGTAAACTTACTGCATCATTAAGCGTCATATAGTTATCTTTAGGGCATATACAATAACAGTGTTAGGGTTCGCGTTAGGAGTGGAGGGGGATTTTGGGCGTTTTTAGGAACTCTTTCTATGAGCTCTTTCACTGACATCTCAGATTTGGCAGATAAATTGACTGCACTTGGTAGTACCCACCAATCCAATTGTGTAATTAAATTTGAATCAAACTGATGAAAACCATTGTGTATTCATATGATAATGATTCAATATGATCATGGGTTCATTTTCTTCAGTATTTTCTGATGCATTATCACTTTTGACATTTTAACATTTGCGTTTTTATTTTATAATTAAACCACGTTCACAGGTAATCTGAAATGGTTGTATTTGTGTCTAAATTCTTTTTTTTTCTCTGCAGTTAAGGAATTACAACAAAGAAGCAATGGTTGTTGTTTCCTTGGTGACGAAAAATGAACCATATATGCCTCATCCACATAGTCTTGTGGGGAAAGGTTGTGCAAAAGGGATTTGTACAATGAAAGTTTCAACGGATACAAAAATGGAAGCTTCGTAAGTTTATTACTTTTTTTGTTTTTTCAACACTGAGGAATCATTTGAATCAGGATTTTCCCGCCGACAAACACGCCCAATACGTGAACTCAAAAAGAATTAAAATGTTAGGGGTTAAACTGCGTAAAATGATTACCGGTCTTGACAAATTACGAATCAACTGTCATATAAGATCAATAATAATTTACAAATTTACACAGTAAAAATTATAAAAATTCATAGCTGTTTGAAAAAACTTCTCAGATCTTTATTTGTACGTTCATTGCCATCTTCGTCAAACTCAAAACCCTCAAAGTCCAAGTCTGCGTCACTGTAGCCGTCGAACAAAATCCCTACAACTTCTTCCTGGAGTTCGTCGATATCGTCCCACACAATTTTGACTTAGCACTTTTAATCCACAGATTTGGCACTTTTCATTCATGTCTAATCACAATAAAGAGACAAGAAAAATGGAGTCGCTCTGCTGCGATGGCACACGATGCTTTGTTTACAGTCTGGCAATCATCTTTGACCTTTATGCATCTGCTTTACTGATTGATTAAGAATGACATCACTACTAGTATTTCATCATAGAGGTCAAATCGTGACATTGCTTTCTTTATCAGACTCAACGCTTATCAATCACGGTGAAAGTTATCATTCAACAAGTTCCGGCGGTTGGAATGTCTCACTATATGGATATCGCGGTGGACTTGAAATAGGAAGTTTATTATCCAACCACAGAAGAATAATTTTTATGACAGAAAAGCAATAGCGGTGATGAAGGATGGTAAAAAAGTTGGCAGTCTTGAGTCTTTGGCGTGACATTGCAAAATTGCTGGCCCCAGTTATGGATTCGCAAGCTGCTACCAAATATTTTATATTTAGCCAAAATAACGTGATTTCAACCACTCTCCCAGGTACGGGTTGCTACAATATTGCAACATTGGTTTTTATTGTCGACGACGCTAAAGCCGAACGAGTCCGACAGTTGTTTGCTGTCACAGCTATTTCGCGTTTACCCCTTGTTTTACGCAATTAACAATTATATTTAAAGAATTTTTATAAGCATCACGACAGACTTCAAGAAAGTCAGATATTAATACAACCACAGTCAACGAATAGAAAATAGTTTTTTTGTTATTTTTTGTGTAGAAAAAGACCCCCTGGGCGTGTGCCCGGATATGACTTCAACTTCTTTATTGTGTCAAAAGTGGGGAGTGGGCGTTTGCCCAGACATGGGCTCTTACCCGGATAAGTACGGTAGTGAGCACTTTTCAAAAGCAATTCTGGTACGCCGATTGTTTAAAAGCTACCTTTTTTCATATAAGTTTTAAATATTGACCCTTGCTTTTTGTATTGTACCTATTGAAAGTATCGGTAATGCTTGTTGAATGATCTAAGTACTGTAACTACTTGATTTCTTGAAATAAAAATGTATATGTTTGTATGCATATAGATTTTACAAGTTTCTCATGTATTTTGTTATGTCGGAATACAAATACCGAAAACAAATTTTATTTTTTACTTAGAAATTTGAGAAAATATATACGTACAGTTCATTGAATACATAAAATACTGTAACCAAACTAAATTTCGTGAGAGGCAAAGTCAGTGGTAATTTATAGCGACTTTTGTGAAAATTTGTCATTGCGATCAACATTAAATCGAGAAAATGAAATAAACCGTACTAAAGCAGTCTACATGTCTTTACAGTTTTCAAAACTTGGGTATTCAGTGTGTGAGGAAAAAGGACATTGCAGAAGCTTTGCAGAAACGAAAAGAGCTTGGAATTGACCCTTATGGAAGTGAGTGAACTATCCTACATATTTTCTTTACTCTATGTGGGATATCTTATTATTCTTATTGTATTATTTTACAATAACTGTTAATTTTTTTCTGGGTAGCACTGATGTATACTAGCAATGAAACTTTGTAGTATTGTACTAACCATGGGTCAGTTTTGATATCGCATAGTATATGAAGTTGGAATAAATTTGCGTTGCTTATTTAGTAAAATAGGCATCAATGAAAGTTAGGCATATTATAGAGGTCTTTAACCTTAAAGTCCATAGATTCTAGACTAGATGTACTTTTGTTCTTCTCATGCTTGATGTATCTAGCTATTTTTCATCTGTATTAAGATGCACCACAATATGTACCTATGTCTGCATTATCAAACCTTAATCAAATCCTGTGAATTGCTTTTGCAGTGTTTCAGAAAGGCCAAAAGTTCTCTGTCGAAGACTTTGAGTTAAATGTTGTCCGGTTGTGTTTTCAAGCTTTTCTTCGAGATCCCAAAGATCCAAATGGCAGATTTATCATTCCAGTATCACCAATTGTATCCCATCCAATTCATGATAAAAGTAAGTATATGACTGAATAAAACATGGTAATTGTTGATGGTAAATGTTAAACAAAAATACCGGTAGGTATCATAAATTGATTGGTTTTAAATACCTAAAAATCTCATCAAAACATGTGTTTTTTGTTCACACGAACCTTTATTGGAAATGCGCATTTAATATAGTAAATACAGCATACTAAAATTACTTTCTCACATCTCTATATCGACTGGCACATTTTTGCATAATAAAATATATTTAGGAATAAAAAGACAAATACCGGGGGTATTGTTCTTACAGAAATTAATTTTTGTGTATTCTTATTCAATCTCTGTGAACAGTGTGAACTATGAATGAACCAGGAAAGAAAGGAAGAAAGCTGCTGACATAGCATGCATGCATGTGTGAGTCGCGCAACGATGAATCATAATTCGTCCAGTATTTGTGCTAATAGCACAGTATTTAGTAAAATGGAAAAAATCAGGAAGCATAGGGTAACAGAATTTCCATGCTTTAAGAAGCCTACTGAATGAGGAAAAAATAATGAATGAATTGACAGCTCGGCAAAACCACCTTCCCCCTAATGTATACTGGTATTATCATAAAAAGATGACTCATTGAGGGGATTACCCAACATTCAGTTCTGTTTGTTTGGTTTCAGAGGGTACATCGCTGAACATAGCGCGAGTTGACAGGACTTCAGGAAGTGCGTCAGGAGAAGATGAAGTGTTTATTCTTTGTGACAAAGTACAAAAAGGTGCGTTAATATATAATCAATATTGACAATATATTCCTGATATAATTTATTTTCAAATATTATGTATTGTGTAACCTGCATTTGGATTTAACTGCATGGGAGGGGTGTATTATTTATATACTTATACGCTGTAGATACTTCAACACAGGGGATTTTATAATACACTTTTTTTTTTTTTTTAAATAATGTTTTTGTGCCAGGCGACAGTTCCGGGCATTGAATGTTACTGTTGTCTCTCCTGACCTTTTTTTGTAAGTGCAAATTACAAGTGCTAGTGGTGACACATAGTGTATTTTGCCACAGAAGTCATATTCAGGTTTGGGACTACATGACAGGGCTCTCTCTATCAAATGGCAATTTTTATGCGCTATCCTGGCATCAACTAGGCTCGACCAAACACAAGCACCTGCGGACCTTAACCAAGGTAGCCCCAAAGTCCCATTCGTTAGTGAATGAATCTCGGCCAGTGGAATTAGCCTTCCCATTGAGTCTGTGGCACACTCACCCAGGGTAGGAGTAGACTCTTTTGATGTTCAGCCTAAAGTAGGATTTGAACTTGCGTCTACCGATCTGATGCGACATTTAATAATACATTATTGGTACTAATATTTAGTTATATTTATCGACAGATGATATTGAAGTTTGTTTTAGTCATTCTCCATCTGATTGGGTAGGGAGAGGCCAATTTGGAGCCAATGACGTACATCGCCAGGTTAGTTTCTTTATAACTTGTTGGTTGTTTATTATAAAAATTTTGTATTTGCTCTATTAGTAGCAAATGTCACAATAAATAATCATAGGATCAAATATATGATGAATGCAATTTTTATTAGTCCCTGTTCGGTCGAAGTCCGAAAACGGGGAGTTATAATTTGGTCTCCGTCCGCCTGTGCGTCCATGCGCCCGTCAGGAATCATATCTTAGAATTCCTTGGACCGATTCCGTTCATTTTTTGCATGTGCCTAGCACTTTATGTGGGACATATGCACATGCAGTGGTTTAGCGATTCGATTCAAAATGGCCGACTGGCAGCCATCTAGTTTTTTGAAAATGTTGTATTTTGGAGGACATGCTTTGTCAGTTTTCATTCAAACTTGGTACATAGATTATACATGTTAGGATACCTGTCCATGACGATTTATTTCACAATTGGATCAAGGATGGTCTACTGGCAGCCATCTTGTTTTTTGAAAATGTCGTATTTTGGACATGCTTTGTCAGTTTTCATTCAAATTTAGTACATAGATCATACATGTTAGTATACATGTCCTGACCGTCCATGAGTTCCTGAGTCTGTCTGTCTGTTCGTGTGTCCGTCCATCCCTGCGTCAGTCTGTCCAAAGTCATATTTCAGAATTCCATTCATTCTTTGCATGTGCCTAGTACCTTATGTGGGACATATGCACATGCAGTGGTTTAGAGATTTGATTCAAAATGGCCGACTGGCAGCCATCTTGTTTTTTTGAAAATGTTGTATTTTGGACATGCTTTGTCAGTTGTCATTCAAACTTGGTACATAGATTATACATGTTAGGATACATGTCCATGACGATTTATTTTGCAATTGGATCAAAGATAGTCGACTGGCAGGCATCTTGTTTTTTGTTTTTTTATGCGGTATCTTGGGCGTGCTCTGTCAGTTTTCATTCAAATTTGGCACATACATGTACTTTATACATGTTAGAATGCATGTCCCTGACAATTTGTTTAAAAATCTGGTCAAGGATGGCCGATTGACAGCCATCTGACTTTTTGGCCTTACTACTATATTTCCACAATTTATGTACCATTTTCATTTGTATTTGGCACATGCATCATACATATCAGTGTGTTTCATAATCAGATCAAAGATGGTCGAATAACGGCTGTTTTTATTTTTGGCCATATTACTACTACACTGAACACATGTTTTGATGTAAATAAACAACTGTTGTATACGCCACTTGGAACTAAAGTTTCAAGGACACGCTCGCGACAACCCCTCTGCTTTAATATGACGAGCACAAAGAGAACTTTCAAAAATTTTATGTGTGTTTTTATTATAGATTTGTTTTTGATAGAGAAAATATGGTTATGGGTTTCTTAATAGACCTTATTGTTAAACTGTCGCCGAGATCTTTTTGTGAGCTCGACAGCAATACAACTTATTGCTGCTCTCTAAACAGTGTTCCATCTCTATCTCCATCACATCCACTTTCCAAATGATGTAGTAACCATGGTCAGGGTGCAAAGACGGTAAAGAGTGGAACAATGTTTGAGGGACAAAAAAATAAGTTTCGTGGCTTTCTCACTTTCAACAAGATTATGCCAACAATTTGCAGTGTAATTGCTTTTCATTCATCTGCTTCTGGTAGAAATTTTTTTAAAAATAATGGTACGATGACACAAATCATCTAGGAAGTCAATCCACACATGTATGAACAAAATATTGCACCATCAAAAGGTCTTTTTCAGTGAAAATTTATTCCAGCTAAGATAAAGTATTTTACAGTACATTGATGTTTTTGAACAATGCACAGACCTAATTAGTTTGGGCTTAGAATCTGTTCTGGAATAAATTAGACTAAAAACAGATGTACACTCAAATTTATTTTCTGTGAGTAATATAACATCTCAAATAACACATCTATATGAGTTGCTAAGCTTCTTATTTGAAAGGCTGATCTTACAATTTGAATTAATTTGAAATATGCCTCCAGTATTCTCAGCACACTTTTTCCTTATCATTCTTTGATTTTCTATGTTAAATATTTAAAAAAAAACAAACATCAGATTCGCCTTTGCAATGACAGATCAGAAACAGATAATTTTGTTTTTTTAGCCTGAGCCATAAAATCAGTTGTACTGTCATAAACTTGGCGATTCTTAGTTTTTTCTTTATAACATAGTATAGAGCTTATAACAAATTTTCTATGTACTGACTTTTATTTGCAGGTTGCGATTGTTATAAAAACGCCGCCATTTAAAACAAAAGATATTAAAGAGCCTGTTATTGTGCAAATGTTTTTAAAAAGACCTTCAGATTTAGAAGAATCAGACCCGATTGATTTTCTTTATACGCCGGTTGATCCAGGTGAGTTGACTTTTGACACCAGTATTATCTTAACCATGATAAAATCTACTGATTGTACTGGCTGCTGTTTATTTTTGTCTGTATAAAGTGGGTGTAAATTCTGGTAGTTTTATGTAATGACCTTAGAAATCCTAATCAGGATATTCATCAGAAAGTTTGACAGACTTCCCCCACCCCCAAAATTGATCATACTATATTCAACTTCTCTGGTTGGTTATCATTTGTATATGAATAGGTTAGCAAATTTCACACTAAACTTTCAGTTTGTGATGTCTGTTTTAGAACTAAATAAGGTCTTTCACTCTGTCGCCTAAATTAAAATATTTATAGTATTAAAGTTTGTTTGTATTTGTTAACATTCAATCTTCATGAGACAGGTTTGTAAATTTTGTATTTTTCAGATGTCCAAGGTGTCTCTGCAAAGAGGAAACGGAAAGTAGCGCATTTTGACAGTTATCTTGATAATTCACAACAGTTTGTTAAAAGTAAGTAATTTGATAAACACTAATATTTTGACAATTTATTGATAGGTGATTTTTCAGTTTCTTGTATATTGCTTGACCAAAGCGTCTGCCTCACAAATCAAATGATTTGATTTTGAAATTTTTTTATAGCTGAATGTCTAAATGCTGATCTTTTAGAGGGAAACATAGTGTTATTTCTACAAATGTATATAGCACATTATTAATCAGTTGAAAGTTTGCACATATTAAAGTATTATATTCATAGGTAACGCCATAGATTGTGTTATTTTTTCATGACTGTTTTTCAGACATGGCTTCCATGATTTTGTTCAAACTCAGTACAATGATTCTACATAATGGATTTTGGTTGCACGTTACATTTTTTAGTGATTCAAGCAAATTTCCTAAACCCTTTATATAGTGCATTGCCAGGAACAACTGATTGCACAACAGCACTGTTTAGCCAAATATATACCAGTACCCACAATTCTGGATTTCTGCTTGTGATGGAATTTGGGCTTAGATATAAAATGGTGACTGTGCATTCTCAATGCTTGTTATTTTTATGTTTTTAAGACCTTGACAAATACATCGCCAAAATGCAAAATACAGCGTGGAGCTTGACTTTTCTGAGATTATATATTGGTTGATACTATTTCAACGTTTGACAAAAGTTTTAGCTGAGTTACCCTGGCCACAATAATTGTTATGGACAATGACTACTCTGACAATAGATATTTTCTTAAGTCATTTCCAAGCCCCATATATTTTGGCGAAAAATAAGTCTTGAATTTCCAGAAGTTAGGTCTAGAATAAATGGTATTGAAAAATTTCATATGATGAGACATACCAGAGTTGATCACATTCCAAATTTGCATCTATGTAATATGTCACACATACATGTATTATCTTCATGTTCAGTAGGATGGATGGATTGGTTATAAGACTTGCCTAAAGCCTCATCTTCCTCATGTCTGGAGTGACATTTCTCTGTACATATCATGGACATGTGCTTGTTTTTGTTATTGCAGATGAGCCTCTGATTATGCCAGGTACTTCTGGTGGAGCCATTAGTAATGTGAAACCACTAGGTGCAAAAGAAAGATTGAAAAACAAGTTAAAAATCAAGCAAGAAAGTAGGTAGTTTTCAAGCTTTGTTTACTACAGTAACTGTTACTTAGCAACATAAAGATAGCAGAACTATTTTGACCATAAGGTTGCTTGTTTCATATTTTCTACAAAATTTGCTGATTCAAAAGTTGGACCAGAAACATGATGGTAATGACAAAGGTTAAAAGTTCAAAGTATTATGACCGATAGAAGTGAAATTTTGTCCAATCTTTGTTATAATTTTTGAGTCAGGATTTTGTCTCAGAGTCTGATTGAAGGCAAAATTGAAAAATTATTCAAATTTTGAATAAATTACTGTATTTATTTGTCTTACAACACAGAAAGATTGTTATGATGCATTATGGGAGTAAAATGACAGCCTCATTGTATATGCTGATCTTTTTTAAAAATAGTGTTAACTTGAGATCAAAATGAAATTATTATTTATTCAATTATAAACTAAAAACAAATCACAGCTTACTTCCCCTTTAATTTCAGTTAGGAAGTATGTACAGTATAGATTTCAGTTCTTCTTGTCATACAGTAATAATACTGATTCCGTAAAAAAAATCCCTTCCAACTCTAGTAAGATTATACATTATATTTAATTTTATTTGGTGAAAATAATCATAAAAAATAATGTAATGTAATTTCTTATTCCATACAATCAGGTACATAATCTTGATGAACTGTTCCATGGTAACCAAAATACGGTGTTGCTAACCTGTTTTTGTACTTGGCTTATCTGCCTTGTCTGATTTTGACCTAGTTCCTTTGATCAAACAGACTGAGTGTGGAATAGATTTTGAGTTCCCTGGCTTAGCAACCTAGCATGTGAATGGGGAAGTGAATTGTAATGATTTACTTCCCGTCTCCAAATATGCAGTTTTAGGATGATATTTTACTATACAAGCTACAGCTTTGTGTTCATTCTGTATTGTAGTCATCCACATTATCTTTGAAAGTTAACAAAATTTTTGTAAAATATAGAAAACAACGAAATTAGACAAAATATAACATATATAATTTTAGTATCAATAAGTACATTTGTTAAATATTTCGCGGGGAACATACTAGCATATATATTCAACTTGTGGAAGACTGAGGAAAATGACCTCTTGAACCCTCTTTGTGTCATGAGCACGCTCAGTAACAAAACGACCCAGGAACACAAACTTGAAACTTGAAACTTCTTTATTTCCAGTGCATATAAAAGTATAGTTTGAAAATAACTTGCATTATTTTTACATATTTTATAAACCAATACATGTATTAGTTTTAATTTGCAAGGATATAGTTTCCCTTTTTAATTTGGAATAACACTATTGATAAACTTTGTGATTAAGTTTTATTTTATGTCATTCCAAAACTGCTCAATATTCAAACTTTTCCCGTAAACATTCGCTTCCCGTAGTTACATATAATTTTTTTTTTTCTCAGATGGTTCCCGGTCCCAGTGTGTTGGAAATACAGCAGCAGAAGCAGCAGCATATCAAGTGCCGTCACAGTCAGCGTCCTCTCTATCATTTAGCACAGTTTCAAGCACAAATTTTGGCAACACGTTTGTTGCACCTTTTACACAGCCAGCTGCAACAACGAGTACAACAACAGTATATCATGAGCAGAGTAGCGCTGTGGCGGCTGCCACCAATAACGCACACATGAATGATTTAGAGTTTAGCGAACTACTTCAACCAACGTATAATATGACTGAAGAGGATCTGGGTATTCACGAAACTCTGTTAGCTGCACTAGGAAACTCAAATGTAATGGTGCCTGAAAGCGTCAATGATTCTTTATCGTTACCATACTGTAATAGTGTAGAACTGTCAACTCCTGCTGTTATAGGCGATGATGATCCTGACCTTTTCTCCACTTTAAACACTGGTGACATTGCCGTTGAAAATATGGAAGAATATTTGCAGTAATTGATTTAATTCACAAATCAGTTGACAACAGAAAACAATGAAAAAAAAAACAAATTGTATATATATCTGTGATGTGTGCCAGTTATTTAAACTTCCCTGCTTTGATTTTATCACTCTTTCCTTGAGCAGTGAGTGTTTCAGTTTTCTGGAAAGTTCATTTAATGCAAATGAGGATAGAACTATTTATTTCTATGCAAATTAGCTGTTTGCATTCCACCAGTGTTGTAATTTTTAATTTCATTTACTTTCTTTTAAAACTAATTACTGCTTTTTACATCTGTAGGTAAACCATACAAGTACAACTCATCAAGAAACATAAACTGAAAATCTGCCTACAGACGCAGTATTTGTTTAACCCATTACTGTAAACACAGTATTTTGTCTAATTAAAAAGATTGTGCTAACAAATAAAAAAGTAATATAGAAAGGCATCTAGTTATCACAGAATTTATCAATCTTTCGTAACTTGATTGATTCTAGGCAGCGGCTAACTGACTGCTAAATAAGTAAGTTTTCATCTGCTCTAGCTAGGATGAAAAAGTTTTAAAATTTTAATAGCAGTGTATTTTTCATTGTTAATAAGTGAGCCAGGAAACCTGTATATACCCCGGTATAGAAACATGTATATAAATATACAAATGTACTAAGTATTGTCTGTTTCCTCGAGTACCAACAGCTTTTTGCATTAGAGCATCAATTTCTTTGTCATGACAGGGACTGCTAGAAGTTTTATCTCAATTGATACCTCTTTTAATTATACACTAGTTGGAGCAGTGTGGAGATTTGAGCAGAGGACGGATAAGATAAAGAAGAGAAGTTAAATAACACTTTTATTTGTCTGAAAAGTGAACATTAGTGTGTCATGAGAAATTTTAACGTCGTTGATTGACCTATGATTCCTATGATGGATTCATATGTACGTACGTATATTGGTATAATTGCAATTTTTAAAGCATTTTTATGCTAAGTATGTTTTTTTTTTCTTGTAAAAATTCAGAGAATATTTTACCTTAGGCTGTAAATAAATCTTGCTTTGAAAGTTTCCACCCCTTGTTGCATTTTGTCTACCATTGAAAAAAGTGAATGTTTGAATACCGTCATTGACTATTCATAGTTTGTAGGGTGGCAGACCTTCAACAGCAAATATCTGATCATTGACCATTCATAAATCATAGGGTGGCAGACCTTCAACAGCAAATATCTGATCATTGACCATTCATAAATCATAGGGTGGCAGACCTTCAACAGCAAATATCTGATCATTGACCATTCATAAATCATAGGGTGGCAGACCTTCAGCAGCAAATATCTGATCAGTCTGTCTTTTCTTGTTCAACTTCTACTCTATGCTGCCTTCCATGCATGTCTTTTTCTGGTATTCCCATTTTTACCTTGGCCATAGGTATAGTAGTTAAGATATTTGTTGTCGTCAACGTTGTCATTGTCGTTAACACTTATTGTGGCCAGGGTCACTCGGCTAAATCTTTTTCAAACTTTTAAATAATATCAACCAATATATAATTTCAGTTCAGTTCAGTTCAGTTCAGAAAAAAGAACATGAAAACTAAGAATGTGGAATATAATCACTTTTGTTTTCACTTTGCCCGTACCATTAGATGAAGGAAAGTACAAGAGTGAAATGTTTGTCCTCATTGTTCTTGTTTTTGTCTTAAATCATTGTTTCTTGTGGTTACAATAACTCAATTTGAGTGTGACTATCATGTACAATTTTCAAGATGTAATTGAAAAATTGTGCTAAAATAATTTGTACTTTTAATTACCCCTGGTATGTGAACCAGATGTCGGCACTATACCGGTACTCTTTCGGGCTAGCTAAGTAACCAGATAGTTTTTGGCAACAAAAGGGGACAATTATATTTTTCCTGGCTTGTAAATACTTTTTCTTGCCAAAATTTTGTTTATATATATATTGCTATACTATTTGGGAACTTTTATGCAATTATTCTTGTATTCTAAAAGGAACTTTGGGATTAATATAGAGTGTGTACTAAAGGTATTTATACACACCACAGCATTTATTCTATTTATTTCCTTTTTCATTAGTAAATGTAATAAATTGAGATCTTTTTCTCCAAATTTACCATAATTTTTAAAGTGAAATTGTTATCTTCATTTTTTTTTTTCGCTCCCCGCATAACAAACCCAAGTTGCTTTTTTGTGGGAGTATCATGATCAAAGTACCGAAGTCTCGCGCAGATGAGAAACGAGGTTATACATGGAATAAAATTTCATGCTTTGACAGCATATTCAGGTATCATTTCCCCCTAAATGTACCATGTTTCAAGTTTAATTAGAGAGCATACAGTTATTTAGTATATAAGGTTGCTATACCGAATCATGACTTGCTCTAAAATGCGATAGGATGTTAGACCTTTGCCTCACACATCTTTACTTAACTGAAAGACTAGTGAATCCTCCACAAACACCCCTGTTCCCGCTTTGAAAATTATACCCAGTTTTTTGATAAATTAAGTTATTTTCATTGAGTTTGTAACCATCATGACATAAATTTCAACATAAATCAAAATATAATTCACAGAATAGTCTGCGTTAATCACGCAATTTTGGGGTAAATATTTACTGGGGTCATCAAGATGTGTCACAGTGCATTTCACGAACAATTCTCTGTAAATACAAAAATTGAATACTAAAAATTGTCATTGTGATTAATTAATCAATCTGATATATTGTATGGCGTGTACTTTTTTAAATTTTATATACTTTATTAGTTCCCGTTCAAACGAAGTCCAAAACTGGACTTATGGATTAACCTCTGTACTTCCATCAGTCTTGATACAGCAATATCTCTCACAGGCTTGGGTTGATGAAGTTCAAACGACACACACACATCAGATATTATATTGGACATAGGCACCTGAATTTGTTTCATGATTTGATTCAAGATGGCTGAATAGCAGTGAAGTCAGGGCTAACAACATAATACTTCCAGATGAAAGAGCTTGGAAAATGTAAGGAAATGCAATTTACAGGTTTTTTTTTTAATGTCACTTTTCATTCTCTAGATACTAGTATTCATCTTTTCATTAGTTTATGTAGTCCATCTTGATTTTTCAGCAAAGGATTATGGGTAAAGTATGACATCATACAGGTGCATAAGTTGCGAGTCATTTTGGTAACTGACTGACATTCTAAGAATGGCTGTAAAAAAACTGCCAGCAAATATATAATGAAATAAAATTAAATAAATTATATAAAAATAGTTAAATACATATTTAAATTGAAAGGAAAAAAAATAAAGGCCAAACTAGGTGCTTAATTTAATTGGATTGCACACAAATGTGTGTGTGTTACCACATGTACATTTCTATGGGCCCATATCAAACAGGCAACGGCGTTATGACCACTACCATTCTTAAAAAAATACAGGATTCCTAAATAGGGATGCATATGAAATGTACTTCTGTTAATCGGCCAGATTGTCGTGTTACATTATAAAGTTTATTAATTTTTAAAAGAATGCCTATGAAAATTTGTTTTCACTCTTTTTTTATGAAGGCATAAAAGGTCTTTTATGGAAAATTTATAAAATATTTAAAAATAACATTTACCTCAGTGACCCTTGCACTTCACATTTGCCTGTTCCGCATGAGTCTTTGTGTTTTTCGTTCAGCCGATCACTGATTAACTGGCATACAAGTATACAAGTGCTATCATTGTGATTGATCTTATTTTCAACCATCATTTTAAATTTATAAAATGTTTTTATCTGAAATGCTATTATGAAACTGATTTTGCCACCACACAATCATTGCAAACCAGATACACACATTTGATATTATTGCTTTAATTTTTCTAAAACTAGAATCAACGTATTTTATGAAAATAAAATAGACCGATTGTGAACATTGCGTTTTTGTTTGGGAATATGTAAAAAGTTGACGGTGACGTTTTAAAGTGACGTTCTTGCGCCACCATCAACTTCCAGGAATAACTTTTTTACCATAAAGAGCGCCCTCTGTGGGAGGAATGTACTTAGTTTATGATTTACACGAGGAAATACTCTTCCAAGCAAACAACAAGATTTATAGTAACGACGGCGTTCATTGGTTGATATTAGCAAAGAGTTTTTCCAGTCACTCCTGTTCACAAAATAGTATTTTTGTTTTTCAATTTACCGTTTTGTAATAATCGTGTGGCTTTATTTGTCACACTTCATCACAGTATTTCAAGAACCACACAATCGTTCAAATTTCAGCAGAAATTCTAGTTTCATCGTTCATTTGTGATTGGCAGTCTAACCAATCAGAGTCCTTCTCACACGAACTGTGTGACATTAATGGGCATTGCCAAAAAAGGTTATACAGTGTTTGAGTAATGCACGATTGTGGGCGATGTTTGATGGTTGACCCAAAGCCTTCCTTGACTGTCTGACGAAGGCATTCTTCTGTGCATGACACCAACACTATAACGTGGAACTGAAACAGACTTCCGCCATGGTGTGAGTGGTCTAGAAATCAGACTGTACGACTATCGATTGATCGCCGGATTCTCTTCCTGCATGCGTGAACGGCAGTGTGGGACGTCAACATAAGAGTGGAGTGCAGTGACAGTTTCACTAATCCGCTGTCGACGTTGGACGCAATATAGTTGAACTTACATACGGTTTTACTGTCGTTGGATTTATTTCCCAGAGTAGCGCTGTTTTTACAGGGGTTAGTGATATAGTGTTACGTATCAGGCTGAACAAGTGGGTCAGTCGGTCTTTTTTTTCAGTGTCGACCGACAGTTCTTTGACGAAACGCAACAGTGCCTTTGTGCTCTTCGGATCTTCTGTAAGTTCTAAGGTACACATCGCTCTATCCCGATCGTGGGACTTTGAAGAACGATACGGCGGTGAATTCGATATCTCCGCCACCCTGTCATTTCTTCCAAAAAAATACGCTTCTCGACTTATCGCTTGAATATATGAATGACACAGTCGTCCTCCCGGCTGTAGATTAACTACACCCGGTTGTTACTCTCGACGAAACCAGCGCACTTTATAGCGTCAACATTTAATATTGTAAAATTCAAAATGGAACATCACATGTTCAAATTACCGGACGGTAAATATGCCGATGGGTCGTGGGAACTCTCTATATATGTGACAGATTTGCAGTGTGAAAGAATGCTCCGAGTAAAAGGTGACATGCATATAGGTGGTCTTATGTTACAGCTCGTTGAAGATATGGGTGAGTTATTTTTATGATATTTTAATAAGGAGGTGAAGAGTGTGTGAAGTATGTCATATTTAGGAACGATATTTTTTTTCTTCACAATTTCTATACAATACACAAGTATGAAAGGACCTATTCCTGTTGCATGAGCTGAATACTGGATGTTTCCGGCTCAGTGTAGATAAAAGAATCCTGCAACATCCACAGAATGAATATAAATTTAGCAGACATGATGCATGCAACGATATCACTGCATCTTTTTAATAAGCTGCCTTGATCAGTTCATAAATTTTGTATTATTAAATGTGAAATTTTATATTTTTCTTTGTTCAGTGGGTCAGCATTAATATTCAGACAGCATAGGTACCATTTTGAAGTTATTAAATTATATTTAATAGCAATGATGACTTATTGGCATGTGCACTATACCTCATTGGCTGGGGTCCATTAATCACGCATATACACGTGTGGCGGTTCTACAGGTACCGTTGGGGGAGGGGCGCAATGGTAATACTTGTATACTAGTTTCACATCAAAATGTAATATATTTTGGGATAGGGTGTAATATGCTTACACATCGGTTATTAAGTGCTTTACTACGCAGTACACATAGGCATGTGTTGATGGATACAATACCCCTCTTTCAAAAAAACATTGAAATATAAACTGGGGGGATAAAAGGCGAGAGTTGTATAGAAAGGCTTCTGTTGTGGATGTATATGATACCACTGAGCACACATCACTGCAATGGGTTTGATTACCTTAAACATTCCAGTTCATTGCCAGTATAACAGTTTGTCTTGAACTTTGCTCTCTATGCAAGGTAAACCATCCCCAATGCAATCATGTCCAAGTCTTGAACAGGAAAATCCTGCAGCTGGAATCATTCTGAGAATTAGAGGAGTTTGTGGTAGTAGTGACGTCAACGCTGGTGGTAGAACAATATTTTCCATACTGCATAATATAATAATAATACCATAAATAGTTATTGTAAACTCTATTTTAAACTAACATGAACACAAAGATAGTTTTACAATTAATATTGTGGAACCATGATTCATGACTAATGAGAAAGAGGGGAGGGGAGGGGAAGGGGGGGGGGGGGGTCAACAGCACACTTTTCCTGTGAAGTAATAAATAAGCTTTTAACCATTAGACCATACTGTCTGTGATCTTAACTGTATTGTGATTTAGCAAATATACTGCATATGATAGAGATTGATGTAACACCTAAAAATGTATATGCCAGATGGCGGTGGCTGATACTAGATAAATCATACACTGACACTTCAGTTCTTGTAATGCCATTATTATTCAATTACTTTGCATATTCACTTTGTCTGGTTTATTATATCCATTATTTGAAGTGAATTTGCATCGATATATTTATTGTTATTTTAATGCATAAAGGATTTTAAATTTGCTGTTATCTTGTTGGTCAATGTTGCAGTTATGTGTGTACACAGTGACTACAATAGAAATAGAAAATGCATGTAGTTTTTTTTCTATGGTCTACATGCATAAATCAATAAAATGAGGCTTTATTAAAAGGCGTTCACCCATTCATTTTATGTTCAACAAAAAGACAGGCCATGAAAGTTTAATATTAGTAGCTTTTTGACTGTGTGGAATATATCCACTCAGGAATTAGTATGCTTATATTGCAAACTGTTTTTGTATTATCATAAAAGTAAAGAGACCTTGGTAAATTACTAGTATAATGTTTGAGACAATAATTAAAATTAAAATTCATTATCAAGTTAAAGTATTGTAAACATATTAATTATTCACTAGACTTTATTTTTATCATCTTTTTCTGATTGAATCCAGAAACTTATTTTTCAAATGAAAAATTTTAAGCACTGTGAATATGATAAAAATTTCAAAAATAGTAAATTTTAAATACCCAATGAAGATTAATGCATTTATTGCAGTAGTGAAAATAACTCATTTTTCTTGTGAAGAAACACTTTTGTATACACAGCTGTCATTCAACAGAGGGGGAGAAAAAAAATCATGTTTGTGACAGGGAGACAAATGTTCGTTTCGTGTGGATAAGTACACAATAATGTCTGGAATTGTAACGTGCCCACATATTGAAAGACTTGAATATTTTTTTTTTTATTGACGTGTGAATTAGAAATCTGAAAAAAGTATTAGAACATTATAATAATAACTTTTGCAGATGATTTTTGAAACAGTTTGCAGCTGTTGTTAAGATAGAGAGCCAAGTAATACAGTATGATAAGGTTAAAAAAAAGGATTTATGTAAGCCTCTCACACTGATCATATTTCATGTGTCATTTTATAAAAACCCTTCTGAAGCATTTTTATAAATTTCCCATTTTCTAAAAGTCCCCCTGAGAGACTAACATTCTCTTGTGTCTCTGCGTGCATATAAGCATTGCTTATTCATCTATTTATATGTATATCCTGACTATTTAATAGTATATACTGTAAAATACTTTATGTAAAATATTTTTGCTGAAAGGTTGATTCAGTGAAAATAAAATCCAGCCAACATACTATTTGTCCTATGTTTTACATTTAACGCATCGAAAAATCAGTGAAAATAAATTCCATACAAAACACCCTAAAAGTTTTTTCAGCGAAAATTAATTCCAGCAAAAATAAAGTATTTCACAGTACTGTCAAGGTCATTGGTAAACTCTACTACACATTCCAATACTCTACACTAAGGTGAAGCTGTCCTTGACAAAAATAAAACAATGCACATTGCTGTCCCCTTCTCCCTTAAAACTGCTGTATTTTGCAGAACAATGACACCCTTAATATAAACATGTTTATATTCCTATTTTTCCGCTTAATTAAATTCAAGATGTAGCTAATTTGCCCAAAACTTTCTTTCGGTGTTTTTAGTTCCATGGTTCAGTTGATAAAGGCTATTTAATATAATTACTGACCAGCTAGGAAGTGTGATACTGTGCAAAATTTATAAATTCCCTATCCCTGTTAAAATAACACATACTGTAGACTTTGCAAAGCTTACTTTTGCCTATGAACTCTTTTTAAAAAGTCTCCCACAGTACATGTATGCTTGAAAAGAATGGATCTCACTGTAAGTCACTAAAACTCATCAATTAGACTTGAACTGGCAGTATCTTTTATTGTACCAGCAAGTATTCATTCACAACATATAAGGAAAAAAAACATCAAGCTTTTTGTTTCCTTTCAATAAAAGGGCAAGAAATTCCATTTCTTACTGCCCTGGTGCTCGTATAATGGCGTACGTGTAAATGCATTTTAACTGCGATGAAACCTACCAGTGTGAACTCAATTCTGAGGTTTAACCTTCGACCCCGGCCATTTGATGACTGGAGGCTCAGATAAATGGTTACTCCCTGACATTTTTTTTGCTTGGATCACTGTGTTTGCTTTGTTTTGATTTCCAGAGTTAAGTTTACTTGTCCTTGCTTGTGTAAGTATATGAAGGTAAACAGACCGTGTTTGGACTACTTACATGTATATGGCCTAGTTTTTATTTTTGTCATCACTGCACTGAACATGTCCATCAATCATACACAGATAAAAATCATAAAATCTTAGGCAATGATTAGAAATCAGGTCTGTCTATGTATATGCTTAATCTCTCATTTTGAGAGTATGCGAGGATGATACAGTATTGCATCAATTGTTTATTGATCAATGACATATAGCATACTGATTGAGAACTATATCAGTACAGTGTCAATATTTACTTTGCATATTATGGTCTCCATAATAGTTCTGTTCTGTTCATATCATATAAGCTACAGTGTACTCATATTAGACACTGGAATACCTTGTAGAGTGATCTGGCTATCATTAGTCTGACTACATGTGTGTTCATATATATGCCCTAGTAAAGTGAAGTGAAGTCTGATGGGAAACAAGATATTAAATGGTTTGAAACATTATTTTTCAGTGATGAACGGCTCAATCTGGAGACTCCTGTCTCGTAGCCATCTGTTACACTCTGAAACAATATAAATTTCCCTTCAATTTGGAGTTTGACTCAAGGGCTCGATCACACATATTATTCCGATTTTAAGTTGATTATTGAATTAGTATGTTTCCATTTATGGTATGGGACAGGAAAATATACCACACATGGTTTTTAGTTTATTTTGTAAATGTGAACTTGTCTCGTTAGAGCACGCATAATTGAGTGTAGGTCTAAATTTGGGTTTAGAGGCCACATTCAGGCATGCCATCACCTTGGAAAGGCTAAGAGTATTAATTTTCAATGTTCAATTAGTATTTTTCGCTAACTCTCACGTTTTTTTTAGTCTTTTTTTTAATATTTTTAATTTATCTATCTGTGAACTGAAATACATGTAAGCTAAATTATAAATAGGTTTACCTAATTTACATTTGATTTATCAACATATCACATGATCTTTTGTTTTATTTACTTGCCTAATCTGTGGTAAGTTACTTGGGTGGCACAAATATTTGGTAGGCGGGGCTCAAAATCACTCACTCAAACCCCTTGTGAAGAACACTGGTTAAAAATACTTACAAACACCTCCTTTGTGGAGGTCATAGGTAACACAGAGTGGTGTCAGTGTATATGTATGACTCACATCTCCTTGTGGTACATTTCTAGTGACTTATAGCAACATTTCCAGAACATGCTGATTTATCATGAGAATTGGTAGGACTGACTGGCACAGGAAGTATTATGACCTGATCTATTACCAGGGTACTTTACTGGCCAAGTTTCTAGTGATTATCTGGGCCAATATGGCATTCATTAGTGATTGGTTCTAGACTTATTCCGTACTGGCCCACACACTTCCTATGAAAATGAAAAACATACATATTTAGCTGGTAGCCGTTTTTTTCCACCCACACTGCATCTTTCACCACACAGGAAACGATGAATACTATTATGGCATGTAGCTTTTCAGTCCGTGACCTTTATTCATGGAGGAGAGGCTCATTTGATGTTTTGTTCACATCTTATTTGTCTAGTGTCGTCTATTTTGTACTCTCGGCCCCAAGGACGAACA